CGGATCTCGAGTATACTTCGTTGGATATCAGTAAAGCATGCTGGGAGTATCTTATCAGCGCCACCTCTATCAAGTGCGGCAACCACCACGTCAAACCCAGAGCCACGCCTAATCCGACTTCGAGATATCGAGTATACCTTTGGCATGGTTGGAGGATACTGGGGTATGGGTCGCAAGGACAGAAAGCGACTTCTCCACTTTTCGGACTACACGTACTACTTATAGGGAACATTCCACATTTCTATATGGCGTTTTCTCAGAGTCCGAAAACAAATTGAGGACTGAACTCATTGGGAAACTCCCCTTTCCCTTCTTCAGAAATGCATCGCGCCAACCATGAAACCCTTGGAAAAAATGGGTAACGCCATGAACAAATGACTTCATGGGAACTCGACGTAATTACAGCTATGTAATTTTCGACCTTCACCATACACACAAAAAAGAAAAAGAAAGAATAAGAAGCCTTCTTGTCTAAACTCACCCAAGTTGCATTAAGTAGGTCGTAGCGGAACCCGTCAAATGAAACAAGCAGCAATTTTGGGTGCGGGCTCAGCTTGGTGAAAACTAATGGCAGCCATAATATAAAGCAAGAAACGATCCAAATTCTAGTGAAAATCATAGAAATCAGTGAGTATTTTGAGCCGGAGCCCGACCGCAAGTGCATCAAGTTCGCTGCGGCAACCGTAACCCGGACCGGTTGGCAACAGACTAGCTTCTCCACCGTGTTCCATAAAAACTCCTAGGGACAATATTTTTCTCGAAGTTGTTGAAAATCGGTGTGTCCACCCGAATCGCATGGACCGCCTGGTCCAATGTTACTAATATTTGGTGGATACATAGATGCGCTTCTGCAAAAAGCCAACATGGGCAGATCAATTGCAAACATAAAAAAGCAAAAGAGACTGTGACGGAGCGGGTAGAAAGTCTTCAGTCAGTACAGCGGAAACAAAAAGAAGTTCGTTCAGTAGACCACTTACCTAAAAGTTCGTCTAAATTGGATCTTGAAGGAACGGGTCACGATCAGATCATTGTAACAACGCTCTCTTAAGAACGAGATTGCACGTACAAGAAAAGAGGTCGCAGCACTTCAAGTGCGTTAAAAAACCATGCCTTGACCGCTGCGACCGCTGCCGTTTTTGTTTGTTCCCAGTATGCGCGGTGTCTGCGCCCTCTCGCATGAAGTGCTCTCACGCGTGTTACCTCTTTCGCCGCGCACTGTCTCGCCGTCATACCACGGTCTCCTTCACAAGAGAAGATGGTCCGCGGTTTCTTTTCCCTTTTTTCCTTCACTGACGTCTATTATGGCACTTCTTAATTCATTGATCGGAATAGCGCAATCTTTCCATCACGATCCTTGTCTTCAAGTTGCAATGCTAAATTTTTTGTTCAGGAGAAAAACCATACGTGGTTCTCCTAGAAAAAGGAGAGGCGATGCTGCGTCAGCGATACTTTGGACTCCAAGTCTTGTGGTCAGACGCATAATGACCAGGGATCACATGGTTGAGTGGATCAAATTTGTTTATTCGGCTGTTGTCTCATGGTCATTTTCCAGTGACAATGGTACTGTTGAGAAATCGTGAAGGTGTGTAGTACGATCTTTCGTTGCATTTGTGAATTGATTTGGTATAGTTTCTAAAGTGCATGCATGTGCTGAACATTCAGCACTGCCAGTTCAGGAACAGTCAAGCAGATCACAAATCAATAAGAAGGGATCGCGCGCCAACGTGCCATTATAAAAGGTCAGCTCCGCCATAGTATTTTGTTTTCGCTACGACGTCAGTCCCCGGGTGCCCCCCCCCTTTATCCTCATTTCCTCAGTATTCTATTTTGCTCTAGTATCTCGCGCTTCATGCCATCTTTTCTTCTCTCGATGCATTTGTATTATGAAGTTCCATTTCGCTAGTTCATTTTAGAAACGTTACCTGATTCTAAGCAATCATTGTTTCGATTTCAATACCAATTCAATTTCGCACTGATATCGCTTATGATTGGAGTGCTGTTATGCCGGTCCTTCATTGCCGTCTCATTGATACTCAACTTCATGATTTTTGAAGAGAATTCGTTTGCAATTGTCATCCTCATGTTCAGTGATGATATGTTGTTATGGTTTGCTATGTTTGGAGTTGAAATAAAGTTTAATTACCCAAGTTTGAGGTTCTGAGCCCTGTGGTTGAAGCCACGGAGTTACCTGTGCTGTTCGATTCAAAATTGTGTCAAATGCGTTGTACTTGAGGCCGAAAAGCTGAACCACCACGAGACAAGCTGCTCAACGAACTACGACATCAACTACGGCCGCTACGGTGAGTAAGCATATTAAACTTATCAACAGACAACTAGTACACGCTAACACATTTTTTGGTGCATCGGCCCATTTTCGACTTCTGGGCAAAGAACACTTGTACACATTCGGCATTTCTCAACACTTGGGGAATAATCAAACCACAGTCACACAGCCAATCAATCATTCTACAAACATTATTTCTACAGACACTCCTACAGACCTCACAGTGCTTACAGCGAATCACAAGGAGACACTTTGTTACACACATTCCACCAATCGATCAAAAAATCGATTAAGGTACCTCGATACACAAACTCAAGTTGCCAGTCAAGACACAAGAACCAGCACCAATCAAACAGAGCTTGCACACCGCGGTACTTTCAGTAAAGTTGTGAGATACCGATTTTGAATTCATTACTTGTTGCTTGCACAGCTTGCAAGTTTACACATACCCTTTTTCATACATTTCTCTGTGCTGATTTCACATTTTACATTTTACTCTTTTCGCTGGTTTCGTTTGCTTACTTGTTGTTCCTTTTCAATACACAACAATTAAGCTTAAAACAAAACAGAACAACATTTTTTTACTCCACCGAACACGTACACACATACCAATTCTATCTTGTTTAGCAGTGCAGTACAGTCATACGGTCACTTACACCAAGTCGTACAACAGTTTAGTCGGTGAAGCATTTTCAAAAGGTCGAGAATAAACTAGACAATCTAAGTGCTACGATGGACAGAGTTGAGAAGTGCGTACGAAATATCGACGTGAAGCTTACGAAGTTAATTGAAGAACAAAAGACCAATACGGAACTGCTACTCGACTCACAGATAAATGCTATGATACAAATTCAAAAGTCTGTCCACACGTCTAGATCGGATTCAGAAGGACTAAGTTTCGAGGATTACGAGGAAACCGAACCAAGCGAGATTGCCTTAGCTCGTCGCAGACTAGCTGAATTGGAATCGATCAAGGATCGAACATTATGGAAGAAAAACGAACTCTTCTTGTTCGGGATAAGCATATCGCCCCAAAATGTTCCTTCTGTTGCACTGTCGGAGAACACGACTCCGACAGATGTTATAAGCACAAAACTGTCAAAGAACGCAAGCAAATACTGGCCGAGGCCGCTTTATGCGAAGTCTGCTCAGGCCTCTGTGGTAAACCATGCACCGCTTCCATCACGTGCGATTACTGTGGATCAGCAGCACACAATAGTGCGCTCTGTAAGCTCCCAAAGGAAAAACAGCAGTGCATCAAGATAATCCGTCAGTGGAACTTTTCGAGAGGCCCCAATGTGCTGACCATTCAGCACTGCCAGTTCAGGAACAGTCAAGCAGATCACAAATCAATAAGAATGGATCGCGCGCCGCCGTGCCATTATAATAAGGTCAGCTTCCGCCATATATTTTGTTTTTGCTACGACGTTAGTCCCCGGGTGCCCCCCCTTATGCATTTACAGGCTGTAAAATTACAGTCCATAAAATCCTGCCAGAGCCACGTTAGTGATCCAATTTCTGGACGTTTTTTTTTCTTCGACCGCACGAAAAACGTCATGAATATTTAGAAATTGTGGTTGCTGTAAGCGACCGTTGATCTTCAAATGACTCAAACAATATACTAATGTTTCGCAGTATATCGGAGTCTATGTCCTTAATTCCAACCTTTAAATACTCTGTACGAATAGGTGGTTTCATATTGGGATGGTAAGAAAGTCCTGAGCCGATTTTTCGAAAGCTCCAGAACTTTCGCTTATTGATTGATACCTAGAATCTGTGCTACGTGATAGATTATCGCTGTCGATCATACTTCTCCGCAGTAGGTATATATAGCCGGGTTGCCTTCTTTAACTTTAATCATTGATGTCGATTCCACAAGAGCACTTCCCAGGATATCTCAAGAAGGGCGCTCGCACAAGAGCTAGTGTAAACTGCAATATCAGATCGATTGGGAGAAAGAATAGCTTTCCATAGAACGCGTGCAGTGTGCCTTGTTGTCGCGGTTCGCGACGACGGTCGTGGGCGCACCGCGCGCCCGGCCCCCTGTCGCGCCGTTGGTCGCTTGGCGGCGCACGCACCGGCGAGAGGCGCGTGCTCCGCCTCCGGCCACGCCTCCAGCCGAGGCCTATATAAAGGGTCGCCTCTGCCAGTCGGCGCTCTTCGTCTCCTCCGGGAGAGACGGTCGTCGGGCAACGCGAGGAAGGCGAACGGCTAGGGGTGCCTGCTAGCACCCGTCAGCATGTTCGGGCATGCTGTCCCGTTCGCTCGGAGCGCTGGTAAGTTAGTGTCCCGCTACACCCGAGGGACACTATCGGCTGCAGGCCGATGTTACCGCAGTTACCGCTATTGGCTGCAGACACTACAAGCGTTGGCCGGGCTTCTCCACGCTCGGCAGGAAGTTAAGTTGTAGTGCGTTAAAGGACGTTATCGCCAATAAACTATGAGTCCAAGATGTGTAGTGTTGTGTACAAGTATAGCAGCACGGGTAAGCTTGGGGGAGCGCCAGGGCTGGGGCCCGGTTAAGGCGCAATAGGTCATCATGTGCTGCGTGCATCAAGGGGTTGTTACCGCGGGGCATGGCCCTGTAACCCCCCGTTCCTGGGTTAGGAACCCTGTAAGGCCCCGGGGTGCGGAGGTCATGCGTGCGGGAAACCGCATGATCCCCGGGAAGGACCCGTAGAACGACGTGTGCCTGGGAAAGGCCACGGGGGCCCCGAACCACCTCGATGCGTCGTGTTGGAGGGTTAGGAGGGCAACCGCTCCCGAACCACGACAGGTTTGGTGGGGCCCTTGCGAAGCAGGGCCAACCGTCCGTCGAGACAGACAAGTTGGGAGCCTCCAAACAGTGAAGTCCACGTTCTCGGCGCTTTCGAAGAAGAGGATCCGGAGTTAGCACCCGCAGCCTTGTGATAAGACTCGGGTGCACCCATCCCACAGTCCTCGGTCCCCTTCACGACCTCGCCACAGGAAAGTGGTGACTCAATGGATCCCTCATGTCTTGACCGATAGCACGCGGTTCAGCTATACACCATTTGTTTAGTTTCTGTCTTTTTCCCGCACCGAAAAGGACTTTTCAGGAAGTATGATCACGAGAGATGAGAGGTGGGTTCCTCTCTACGCATCTCTAGCAGCACCCGATCGTGATCCTCAGGAGACACAAAAAAGAAAATCGCCCTTCACCCCAAATTGTCTCTTTGCTAGCTCTTAGGATTCGTTCAGAATTTAATGCTGATATTATGAGATCGTGAATGACTTGATGAGATGTTCCGCAAGACATACGCTATCGGGCAGACATTTACGCAGTACTTACAGACCTAGCGAGACAACCGTTCAAGATAAATCCACGAATAACCACCGAGACGAACTTTGTTCACACTAATCCACCGATGACCCACGCCCTCACATAGGAAGACACCGCTGCAATATTTGGGAAGAGTCTGATCTGGACGCGTTCCCCAAACACTGTTTCCGCCTGACATGCGCATTCCATTATCATTATTTCTATCACCAAATCGAACAGCATTCCTAGAACAAAATTATCACAAGTTGGATACTTAGCAACAGACCCGGTAAACGATTCCTTGACTTCTCGTAGACTCAGTTCTGGGAGAAGGAGGTCGACTGACCTGCCATCAAGTGGACTCATCTGTAGTAAATATTAATAAATATAAATTTGATTGCGTATGATATCATATGACGACCGGACAAATAAAAAAGTAAAACGACCAAAAATTCGATCAAAATCACAGGAACTCAGATTTTTACATACTTACAAAGGGCACGATCAGGCTAATATGACCAAACCAATCCCTGATTAGTCGCTTTGTGCATGACGCGCAAACACAGGAAACAGTTACCAATGATCAGTAATACACGAAGACGAGCGCGAGAAATAATGCTCCAGGGCATAAGTGAAATTTAGCGATTTCGCGCTTCAGACCTCTCGAAACCGACCCACCATCCGGACGATGTAGTAGCAGTGGATGGAACATAACGTGTGAAATCAGCTAGGTTGATTGCCGTATCAACCGATATAGAACGACTGATATCTTCAGAAAACTTGTTTGTACGTGCCTCTTCCCCAAGACAGCCTCCTTCACTGCTAGTGGGAAAGAGGGTTTTGTTAACGGCCTTGTCGACGGTTTTTCTCAAGTTTTTTCTCCACTGTCCGTTACTTCACATTCATTAATATCAGCTTCAATAGCGCCAAATACCCTTATGACCGACATGTGCCTTAAATTTTCGCCGCGAGTCGCCAAAGAAGCTGATCCGAACCAGGCGGAATGGACCTACCGGCTTAGGCCCGAGGCGTGTTCGGTAGCTCCACAGGAGTGATCTGATGACCACGAATTTAACTGTGGGGACTGTGGATAACTGATCGAATCCACCGGTGTCACAGAGAAATAGCACTTCAATGATTTATTCAATTATTTTCTCTTATTGTTGAGAGAGCTCAGAGCTGTCATTTTCAAGACTATAGGAATTAGAAAGCAAGAGACTTCACCCCAATTGATTTTCATCGTTTTCCTTATAAACAAGAGCTGCTATCTTCAAATTTTTAGTACATTCGTATTCAAAAATGACGACGGGTAACGGCTCCATCTGAAGTGTCTAGGCTTTGCGAAGAGAGCGCTCTATCCGTATACTGCAACTTTAGAGGGCTCACACTTTCTAATACAATTACATATCATCGCAGGTTTTGACATACAGTTCTGGTTTCTATATTTGAAACAATCCAGACTCCATGCTTTGATTTATAGCTTTTTAATCCAATTGCAAAGCTCTCGTCGGAGAACGGAGGTTAGATGTAATTGTCTCAATACGACCACACCCCTGCCCATACCACTATCAGTAGGGAGGACCGTTTCAATAAAATACCCTCTCTGGCATTTGATTTCTGTGACAAACAGTCGTTTTCTCAACCTCACCCTTTCTCAATATGATGTTCTCGAGCAAATTGTACCTTCACATTCGTCACTTTCCTCTAAATTTTATAAAGGTACCAATATTGCCTGGGCGGCGCCGTTGCCAAAAATAGAAGTTTTCACGCCCATGTCCACGCAGCTTTTCTTGTTCCTCTAGCTCATATATCCTTGAATGGATCCCTTCAATAGATAGCAGCTCCATCCTCGTTACCGTCTTCAGATATTTGACCAGTAATTCTCATTGCTCTCAGTCAAGCGAGGCTAGCTTACTCGCTTCCAACTAACAGCCTACAAGTTCGTGAATCGACCTCGTTGCTTCAATTTCCTAGAGACATAGTGATCACATGTCGCCTTTCGGCACTCATCCTTTTCACATGTTTCACAAGAATTGCTCGGTGTGACAAACTTCGTCCAGCGGAGCCTAGAACCCACCTTGGCTTCTATCGATCTTCCTGAATTGAATAGTCGACTAAAGCGAAGGGTCGTTTAGTCCTCTGGAGCAAAGTTTTGTCAAACCAGATTCTTGTGAAAATATTCGCAATGCGTACTCGGCAAACAGAAGTAACAATCCAAACTAAGTCAAAATCACTTTTTCAATAAATTTATCGTCGCATACTCAGCAGCCCTATTGAGCTCGACCAGTGCACCTTGCTTGCGGGGCAAATTTTTCCGATGCCGTCCACTTAGGAGGCCACTATGAAGATGTTCTTATGAAATGAAATGTCCTCTTCTGTGCTAAGTTGTAACCATTTGGTTTGAATTGAGCAGATCTATCAAGTGGACTAATTCATCTGAATGTAAGACAAATGTCTTTTTTTTTGTTCCCCCCCCCTGTATATTATTAGGTTGAGCAAAATTATCCGCCGTTTTCATTTCACTCATAAGTTTATTAACAAAACCAAACAAAAACAACAATAAATGCGTAATCAACAAACGCTCTCGAACAGTCCTTCTCTGCAACCGTGCCTTCATCCCAGGCTTCATTGATTCTACGAGCAGATGCAGAAGCATTCGGTTTCGAGCTCAACTTGCTCATGTAGCAGGGGCAATCTTTTTTGCTAGTGTGTAAGCTCCATAGTGAAGCAAATACACAAGTGTTGTACATCAAAATGTACAAGAGATTGAGCGCTTTCAGACTACATCATAATCTTGAAAATAATCAGCAAAAAATCAAAAAGCCATGAGCCTGAAAAAACGGCGGATAACTTTCGCTCAACCTAGTATTTGCTGCGTGCTTCTTCCCTGGACTTCCGTCAAAGATCTTCAAAAGCCTGTCCAACACGCAGGGTCAACCGTCACGTTGGACCGATTTCGAAAATTTTACGACCCCCTCCCCCTTCTAGAGGGCCTCGATACGACCCCCTCAGGGTCAACCCTTTCATCGCCATCATGGGGCTCATTCTATAGTATTCGATTCTGAGACCAGTCGACACAGCCCAAACTCCGCCCACTTTTTCTTTTTCCTCCAAAATTACCGTCGAGCGGGGGGAGGGGGGGGGGGGGTATACACACCAACGGCTTTTAGCGCGCCAACCAACTGCATCATCACTTCCCTTACTGTAACATTAACGCTACCTCGCGAAATACGACCCCCTTTTTCCACCCCAAATACGACCCCCCACCCCTCGTTGGACTTTGTCCAAGGCACGGTTGACCCTGCCAACACGACCCCCTTGCTCCTGCAACCACAACGCATCGAATCCCACAGACCACAGATACCCTCTCTTTCGACCTTCTGACCTCCCAAAACTGCAATACGACCTCCCTCCAGAAAACTGGAATACGACTCCGCCTCCCTTGAGAAGTGCGCAACGCAGGTTGAACCTACTTCCAGTACACCATGCGCATAAAAAACGGATGTTTTCAGGAATGATCTCCCAGTCAATTGTGAATATTTTGCTTTCTTATGCTGTACATGGGGGTTGTCAAAAATCTTTTAATTTTTAAAGCATATCAACATCAATCAATACTTACAATTACAAGTGAGTCGTGTCTGAAAATCGATGAGGATGCAATTATAGTTCACCAAATGAATCACAATAATCCATAACAACATTTAGGCGGATAGAACCGCAGAAAGAGTGTGAGGATTTTCTAAGTGAAAAAAATAGAAGGACGAATGAGTCGGCCGCAATAGTGTCGACCGTGGAATCGATACATATAAATCATACTAGTAATAATCACAAATCTATTCTTCCTTAGTGTTGTCGTCGACTACCATGAACAATTTCTGCACGAGAACCGTGAACGACTCTAAAGCAATTCGACATTGAATAAACATGACAAAAATTCACTAAAAACGGGTACTCGACAGAAAGCCTACGAAGAAAGTTTGACGGTGGCGCGGACGCGAGCGCGTGCAGATGACGTCACAGCTGCGGCAACAGTACGAAAGGCAAGACTAAAAGCGTCGCTGCCACTTCGCTTGAATAGTAGAAGGGTAGCTGGCACCTCACCAACTAGTGCAATCAGTAGTGCCGTGAACGAAGTGATTGTATTGTGTATAGGTACTATTCCCGCCCCGAATTTAGGAATCTGTTTGCGAAATAGGGGGAAATCAACGGTTTCGTATGTAAACCCGACGATGCGCCAAACTAAGGGCGGTAGTTGATTTCAAGAATTCATTCTTCGTTATTATTGTTGCTCATTCCATAGTGAATTAGAGTCGATAGCGTCTTTTTAGCAATATTATAAAGTAGTGAAACCACCCTTGCTGGATCCCTCGCTGCCGCCGTGACGTCAAAGTGACATCACTCGTACGCGCTCGCGTCCGCGCCGCCGGTGAGCTATCAAGTGCGTACACAAAGGATCAGACGCACCCCAAATATCACCACAGCGGTAACTACAGAAGTTTTACGAAATGCTTATCCCATCTGATTCCTAGCTATTGCGCGAGAACCTACGTTTTACCATATTCTACGGAGCGAAGGCTACGCGCGGTGCGCAGCAAGGGTCGAGCGCGAAATGAGTTTCGTCGACCCAGCCCGATTTTAAATGGGCTGCTATGGACAGGGTAGACTGTAGACAGCGTAGTTCCCCCCGCGCCTAGTGATTCTTTTCGTCTTTGATCCCTCGTCATGCAGGGCCACAAAAGTGAAAACACCCCCTTCCCTTAACAAGTCATTTTGAGACTGATGAAAAGGACGTGCATGGGTAGCAGGGCCATACGTTGTCTGAGTCTCTCACACAGCCACTGTTGATTGGACGTGTACCGTAAGCCGCGGCCACAGGTGTATAGCATACCTTGCACGGTGCACTTGCGTGGCAAATGAGTTTGACGATACTCTTTTTCCTCTACTGCCCGATTATGAGTATCTGCCTCGGGCGGGATGATGGCCCCTCCCCTGATTCATCTCCCATCCTTGGGGGGGGGAGAAAAAAGGGTTCCCGTCAGCGGACACGACGCACATAGTCTGTGTGTTCTCGATTGGACACAGAGCAGCGGACTACCCTCCAGGTTTAAGCCTCTTGTCATGAAGTGACGCTTACTTTCTGGCAGATAAACACAAAGGATTATGGACGCAACTCTTTTCTGTTTCCCCCCAAAAGCTGTCCGGGAATATTGACTGAATCAGGGGAGGGGACGCATCTGCCTGGGGAAAGGATTGAATACGGTCCCATGTCTCGTCGTTTCTGCTTCTTCACCTGTCGTCATGCTAAGCGAGTGTGCAATTCACCAGAGGCTCGCGACAGAGTGCTCAACACTGCGCCATTACTCAGCCATTACTGCATATTGACTCATGGATTTTTTCGATACATTTTTTGTTGGTTTGGAATGTGTTATGTAGTAGGGAGCATTTGGTTTGATTCAAGCAAAGTGCGATTAATTCCGTTTCGAAGTGGAGGGAGAGTTACTATTTTTTTGCCCCCCCCCCCTGTATAGCCTTGAGGTTCTGGTATTTCATCAATGCTCTGCCCTATATAGTAATATTTTTAAGACCCATTCATGATTAATTGGGAGGGGGAGTGTTAAGGGAGATATTTTTCATTAAGAGAAAACAGTCGAAATAAGTAAGAAATAACGGACCCGTCAAATTGTCGACGAATTTCGGCTTGTTTTTCCACGCAATGAAAACGAGGTAGACTGGCACGGCAGACAGCATAATCAGCAAACCGATGGCTAAATATAGATCTTCAGCATTAGTGAAACCATTTAATAATGCAATAGAAGTATCATTTTTGAGTGGTTCGTAATTTCACAGAATTTGAAAGACCTAAAAGTGGCAGCGATTATCCGACCAGAGTCAGTTTCCATTTGCGTGTTTAAGCATGATGGGGTTTAAAAGCGAAGTTTACAGTTTATGATAAGAAGGCAGCCCAGCAGAAATAAGGTCGAGGTAGCGATTTGATTTTTTTTCATTTTTCAGATTATTTATGGTTAGTATATGAATGGTAGCAATTTAGAACCGACTGGTAAATGCCAGCAAGTTCCGAAAATAGCGATTTTAAAGGCGCAGTATGCCATTTAAAGTTATCCCATCAGGAGTAAGGTCGAGGTGATCAGTGGTAAAGGGATGAAGAAGAAAGTATGGGAAATGGTCTAGTACCCGAGAAACGGGACCTTTTCCTTGCCCATTGGTTCGCACTAATGCGACTCTCATCGATGCTGCCCTCTTCAACGCTAATGCTTCTCTTCTGAACGGCTAGAGACCTGCGGCGGGCGGTCAGTCGGTGGGCGTGCCGCGTCGATAGCGGCGCGGGGATGGCCATGCTATCGCCGAGGCATATCCTTCGCTGCGAATTGCGTGTCGGTCCACCCTCAGAGGTCTGCCTGTCTTTCCACTAGGCAAATTTCCCTTCTATGACCTTCGACATTATCGTGGAATCCTCCTTCAAGCATTTCTGCCTTAGGGCTTAGAAACAATGCGAAAACTGAGTATTGATCGTATACGCGTAAAATCAATATCTGTTAACAATTATACTCCCAAAC